ACACACACACACACACACACACACACACACACACACGTTCGCTCTCTGTCTACCTTTGTCACAAGGCACATATAATGCATAACGACCCATGAAAATGTAATGGTGCATTCTGTTGGTCTTATATTACATGTATCATGTTGCTCTCCATAATCCGACAGAAGATGATACAAAGGAGCTCTTATATTTTTCTGTTTTTGAAGCAGACAGAACGAATTTATTGCGTCTAGCGTATTATTATCTTGCAATTTTTATGCTTCATGAAGAGGGTGTTCATTACCTTTATTACTGATCCGTATTGAAGAATTCAAGCATTGAAACAGATGCTGCAAACACAGGGAAAATAATGTGTATGACAAATGGACCAACAAAAGCAAGTTATGAATGCCAAAACGGTCAGCAACCCAAGAACATCCATACGTTTTTGTAAAACCCACTGGTTTTTATAAATTTTAAACTCTGTCATACTCGCAAAAGATATTTCTTCTCGCCATAAAGAATATATTAAAATCAGATCGGTTTAGTTGGTTTTGTTAATAATACGAATATGTGAGTCGTCGTGGTAAACCAAGGCGCTCGTCAAAAAAATAATGATATCAATGAAACCAGCATTTTTCTGCCTTTTGTACAATTGTTATCGAATTTTTATTTTTTGGCTCCCCACCTTCTAAAAGTCCATTTAATACATATTTCTGAGTTGAACTTGCTGATATATGTTGATTAAGGGCACAAAAATGTAAATTTACAGTTTTTAAAGACTTTTAATGCTTTGGAAGTTGTCATACATTGGCAGCCATTTTCTTGCTAATTTACCCTCTGAAACCACGCATCCCCCTCTCGATCAATCGCGAACATCTTCATTTCTATTCAAGATAAAGGGAAATTTTTTTCATTGAAAGCAAGACAAATGAACAAGCGTTAAGATGATACCAATAACACCATATGCCCAAATAAAGGATGAGCGCCTAATTCTACTGTGTCGTGAAACGTATTGTTTTCTGTCCAACTGTTTCAAGGCCAGAAAGCAACATTCTTCAAGAGAAAGAGGGAAAAAATATTGCTTTCCTTTGAAACATATTATACCAATACTGCACAACATGACATCATTTTTAAAAACTTTACTTTGTTTAACAATTAGAATTTGAATTTCAACAAAACTGTCTCGCGCACATGCAGCCATTACAAACACAAACATTCACCCGCATTCTGCACAAAGACGGCATACTACGAGTATTTCTTTGGGACTGCAAGTCCAAATTTTTTTTCATGTTCTTTTCAGTACTACAAGTCATCAGCTGTTGTACTATTTAACATGCCCCCTGTTATTTCCATACACATGTCGTCCGTCACACAATACGTGTTGTGCAATTACCTCCTGTTGTAGACATCCTGGTCGCTTGTATTTACTTTCCGAAACAAGACTCGCCGAGTATAATTACTATTTTGTTTATATCATCCACAGAGGATATCAAGTTGGGAGTCAGCGGCCGACGGGGAAACATGTTGCTAGGTATGTACATAATATTGTACTTTGAGGAGTGCTAACACAGTGCATCTTTATATATTATTATTATTATTATTATTATTATTATTATTATTATTATTATTATTATATATATATATATAATATATATTAATATATATATATATATATATGTGGATTTATCTATCTATCTATCTATCTATCTACCTATCTATCTATCTATCTATCTATCTATCTATCTATCTATCTATCTATCTTTACTGTCTGCTCATTTGATAAATAGCCTATGTATTTAGTTTGCATTAAATGTCCTTTTTACGAGTAAGATCGCACACACGCGCACATACGCACACAAACACACACATACACACATTCATACATACATAGATATTCGGAGGGACAGACAGACCACCCAACAGACACACGGACAAGCAAACCCCCACTGTAGCAGCTAAGTCTCCGCTTCAGTACTCTTTCATTAACTCCTCACAGAGAAGAAACCTCCTCTCCCTCTCCCTTTCCTTCTCCCTCTCCCTCTTTCCTTTCTTTCTCAATACCGCCGCGTTCCTTTCTGCTCGAGAGCACCCCCCCCCTCTCCCCACGCCTGACGTCCACATCTTATTGAGAACTCGCTCACCCGAGGAAAAACTACACGAACAATCGAACGGAAGGAAGGACGGAAGGAGGGGTTAATACGACATGCAACCCGGGCCCAGGGTTTCAGGGACGATGCCAGGGTTTTTTATTGCTCCCCCCTGATCCATCTAGTGATGGGCTAAAAATAGCCCACAATACGGATAAAATGAGGTGATGAGGGTAGCCATTACGCCGTCAGATCTTGGGGCGCTACTGGCTTTGTCTACTGGATGCGGGGAGCTTGAGGGGGGAAACCATCGGAGCACAGAGGGACGCGGAAACACCGTGAGATCATTTGGGGAATAAGTGCGTGTACTCTACACCCGAGCAAGCAGGAATATTTCGTTTAGAAAAGTTATTGATACGTGGAGAATGCATCAGTAACATTCTTGGTTTTCACTTTTTGGGGAATAAGTGGGTGTACCCGTACACACGAGCAAGCATAAAATCTTTCTTTGAGAAAAGTCATTTATTCGTTTTTAGCTCTTATATTTGGAGAATGCACCAGTTACTTTTTTGGTTCTCCCTTTTTGGGAAATAAGTAAGTGTACTCGCATACACACGAGCAAGCATGGATATTTCGTGAGAAAAGTTATCGATACGGGGTTTGTCCTCATTTCATGTGGTGTAGGTGGCGGCAGCGTTTTGCGTTCCCGCACTCGTTATTTCTTTCCTTTTTTGAGGACGCAAATTCTGGTCTCAAAACAAATCTTGAAGACGCACTGTTCAGGGACACTTTAAAACGAAATAAACGTTTGTCACTCACAGACATTCTCAAATTCGTCTTTTAAAAAGTAAGTAAGTGCAACAACATAATATAAACTATGAAACGCGCATATTTGCTTTCTGATTTGAGCAAGACGCTTCGAAATATTCCGCAACGTTGACTTTGGTTTACTGCTGACTGGACACAATACGTCCCCGATACGTCCTGAAAGAGGTACCGGACTGTAGAAAGAGATGGTCTTTATACAACTTTACATTCCTGGCGTAGACTAGGTGTCTAAAAATTAAATTCCCTTCGGGGGGAGGTGAGGGTAGAATCTGGGCCTTGGTCGGAACATGTAGTTCACAAATTTAATGCTTTAGTTAGTTTTAGTAGAGGTTTTACGGCGCTCGCAACTGCATAAGGTCATATGAGCGCAAGAAGATTAGAGGTGTTTCAAGAGAGCAACACACATACAAAAGAAGAAGGGGAGATAAGGACGATAGGTGTTTGACAGGAAAGAAGAAGCAAACCACACCAGAGGACCCGCCAACCACCCACAAATTTAATGTTTCAAACATCGTTCTCCAAAAAGTACCTTCAAACAACTTATCTTCTAAAATTTTCAGTCGTTACCAGCAGCAGTTTAGAACATAAAATGCTATTCAAAACATCGGTTTCTCTTACCTACTGCTTGCTGCCAGAGACCTGGCAACGCTTCCTCTTACATAGCTCACCCGCCTTTAGCTTGACGGAGACAAGCACTGACACCTGTATTTTGATGTCAAGTACGGGCCTAGGGGGCTAGTTTAAAACACCTTGTCTTAACTATTATTTTTGTTTGTCAATAAGGAATGTAGTTAGTGGAACTTATACGTCTACCTAACAAACAGAAACAATTTATTACACAGAGTTTTAAGAAAAGTCAAAAGACACGTAATAATTTGTTCACCACTGCATAGCTAGTAAATTTTGTATTTGAGAATGTATATCGGTCTCTATAGTGTGTGTGTGTGAGACGGGCGCAAAGGGAAGAAACTAACAGCACCGTTCGAAATATCGACATGAGAAATAGAGAAGACAAACTAAACACAAAACGAAGAGCAAGAAAAAGAAGAAGAAACGAAAAGAAGCCCACGAGTTTTTCTGCACTTTATGACAGGCTGGTCCGATAACAGACGCGTTTTGCCTGCAAGGACATAAGGACAATTGTAATATTAGAAGGAGCAAAACAAACACCCCCCCCCCTCCCCAAGAAGACTCGCCACGATTTAAAAAAAAGAAGTGGGGAAAAAAGGGGCGAAGAGAGGGGGCGTGGCGAATACGACATTGTAAGGCAGTGGAATGCGACCCCGGATTTGCAATGAAGATCAACACGAAGACAGAAGGATACAGAATAGTCGAGAAGGGTCTTTACGACCCATTTTAAATAGTATTCAAATATGAACGACAATCGGGCGATAATGCAAATGCCAACAACAAATACAGACTCTGAACCCATAAAAGAAAAACAGGTGTCTCCCCTAAAGAAACAAATGGAAAAAACAACAGAGAGGTAGGGTGGGGGAATATGGGGCATGACGTCAAAGAACACACAAGAAAATCATTGACCTTCTGTTCAGGGCACAGGAGAAAAAAAGGGGGGAGGGGGGATTAGAACTTTTGGGTTGTTGTTGTTGTTGCTACTGCTGCTGCTGTCGTTTTGTTGTTCCTGTCTTCTTTTTATTTTATCGTTGTGTGTCAATTCCAAGGAAGAGACAAAGCAAAGAGAAGAAGACGCAAGTGGAGTTACTGTCAGTACTTTTATCATCGACTGTAAGCCGTATTTATACACGAATTTCCCTCCCAAACCTCTCCTTTCATTTCTTCTCTCCAGCACTTACTTCCCTTCCTCCCACACCTGCAGATGTAGCTAGAAATTCATTCTTAACAATATTATTTTGCACTCTAATAAAGGCTGCGGGGAGTGGATAAGGGCATAAGGGAAGAAGTACAAAAGAAGAGCGGGTCACACGAAAAAGCGAAACAAACCACACACAAAAAAACGCCAAACGGCAACTATCGCGAGTAAAATCTTCCGACTTTTTATTTCGTTTTACTGCAGTTGCCGCTGTTTTACTTGACATTTATTATACATTGGATCTCATTAAACCATACACTGACAAAGACGTTTATTGTTATTGTTTACAGGCCAAGGGGGGAAAGGCCATTACAAGTTGTCTTTATAACTACTAGAGAATTAAGAATGTTTTTAGCATAGAAATAAAACGCGGGAAGTAACCATTATCTCCCACGCGTTACGTTGAAGGACGATTTCAGTTTGACAATAGCTTGGTGGGGCCATGCTCGTGTCGGAGACAACTCGACTAATCACACTGCTGTGTAAAAGTCCGTCACTGTGAGTGTGAGTCATAGGGTTCAAGTTCAATTTAAGTCGTTCCGCAACTTCTAGTCTTTGCAGATAACCACGGCCTCGTGACATGATTGCAAAGATGAACAGTCAGTTTCAGTGATTATACACTGATAAATCATAAACAAGCGTGATAAAAGTCACGGAGAGAAGACAATGTTGATTCGAACAATTTATGTCCGACCTTCGAACACGCACAAAGCAAACTTTCTCTTGTTTTTGTTTTAGTAGAGGTTTTACGGCGATCGCAACTGCATAAGGTCATATGAACGCCAGAAGATTAGACTTTCTAGAGGTGTTACAAGAGAGTACCAAACATAAAAAGAAGGAGGGGAGATAAGGACGATAGATATTTGTTAGGAAAGAAGAAGCAAACCGCACCAGAGCACCCGCCAACCATCCACAAACTTTCTCTGGCTAAGAATATGACCCAGGTTGCTCATCTACTGTAAACTGTAGGATCTATTCTTATTGGCTAAAGTCTAGGTGCACCTCAGGTCTCAACGGATACAGCCCCGCTGTGATTGCAACAGGCGTTTTAAATACGCATGCAATCATGCATACGTTGGCTTAGACAATATTTAAAACTCACCGCATCCCATACACAGACAGTCGCACATAAACAATCATACAGACATAATGTGCACACTGTATGCTGGCCTTGACTATACATTTTTTAAAAACCCATCCCCAATCAAGACACGAACAGACTAACGCACGTGAGCACTGAGTGTGCACACAGTTATGCTACGCTCGCCACAGACACAGAGATGCGGGTGGATTTATGGGCAATACACACACCGTCGCTATGCACTACTTAGGCCAGTGCTTGTCAACTTTTTAACAGCAACGCCCACTTTTGCTATCTTTAGTGGCTAACGTTTCGTACCGCCCACCTCCACGTATTTCAAAACGGAACATTCAAATATATATATATACTTGGTGATCCCGACCGCCTACCAAAATTAATATATGCTTTAATTAATAGCCTGGGTCCCAAAACTTTGCAGCTCTTGACTCGGTCAAAACCAAAGAGGCTAACTTGAAAAAAAAAATAATGTTCAAAAGAGACATGCACTCTTCTGGTGCTTTTAATCGATGCCACATACCATTTGACAATAAACTCAGATAAAACGTCTGAAAGTCAAATGGTGCCCTCCCCCAAGCCCATTCAGAACTTACTTAACCTACTACGCACATCGTGGGTCGCCACAGTCTGTGGAGCCACATTTGAGTCGCTATGGTGCCATACTAAAAAGACGCTTTTAATTTATTTTACG